ATTGTTATTAGGCTCTTTTTCCTTAAACTGAAATTTTCAGTAAAATACTTCAGAAGCCAAGAGTGTTGCAACAGCATCATGGCCCCCTGTGAGCCTTTACTGGAGTGTTATGCCTGCTGAATTTCAAAAGCAGTGTTACAGCAGTGATGTTAAGATGCAGAGAGATAAGTAATTATTCCATGAAAAGAAGAATGAACCTCTGTTCAGAAAGCATAGCTTTCTGCCCCCTTCTCCAGAACCTATTACCCAATCTGAGTGCACCAATCTTCTTTCCAGTCACCTATTCCCAGTACTCTCTAAAGAGTCTGCCTTGTCCAATCCTTAATGCTATCTGCTCCTGCAGAATCTCTAGCATCCTTTTCCATTTTTTCCCTTCCCTTGATCCTCTGCACTTGCCTTCCTACTCTCATTTCTCTCCTGTTATTTCCTCCTAGTCCATCCCCTTACCCTTCTCAAACCTCCCCTGCCTACAAACACTTCCCCTACACTCATGCTAGCCCTTCCCATAGTGTTCCTTCTGAAAGAATGTTCTTCTTGAACTACAAGTCATTCCCTTGGCATGCCTGTTAAACTGCAAAACACAGAATCATGTATGCCACAGCTTACGCTAGAGAGCTGTAGTATTTCCTCCTCCCATCAAGGTATTCACTCTGCTCTTGGCCATTATTTCTAGGAATAAGATCTCAGCATCTGCTTTCCTCTAACACCTTTTCTGCAGCCTCTCCTCTACAGCACTATTCTCCACCCTAAACCAGCAGTACAAAACTAAGTAGGAAGTCTAACTTTACCTTTCAGATTATTTTCTTTTCTGCCATATTTGTAATTGCTTCTCATTCAATTGCAAGTATTCATCACTTACTCTACAGCACATACTCCATCCACAGATTTCGGCTGCATTCCAGCTGGAACAACCTTTTGGGAGAAACAGAAATCTATTCCAGAGCAACTGCAGCTCCCAGCACAAAACCTAAGCGCACACAGAGTCTCTTGGTACATAGGCACAGCATGGAAGAAGTGGAAATAGAGCCAGGCAGGAGGTAAGGAACACTAAGAGATGTTCCAACAGAGAGAGGAAAACTGAGAGAGAAACTGCAGAGGACAAACGTTGAAAGAGTGAGGCTTGCACTGATGGCACACAAGGAGCAATATGTAGATACATTATACACATATATATACATACATATGTATGTAGTACACAGTACTCTCCAGAGCCAGACCTGAACTTTGGTTTTCTTGGTTACAGTACTTATTAAGTTGCCTTGAAACCCACGGCCAACCTGTCCCACCTTCCTCATCACTTCTCTGAGGGAACAGCAGTGAGTACTACTGGAAGTTTCAAGGGACAAATGTATGCACTATGAGTGCCAAGCATGGAAGACTGCCCATGTTGAGGTCATAGAATCTAACACAATAATGTCTTTTTCTTTTTGTAAGAGTGCTTTAAGAAACGAGGCTACCACCTAGATTACCTGGGGAAACAAAATAAGAATGACAGCCATTAGAACGTTGCCATTGCCAAATCAGAAGCACACAAATTAATACGCCTTAAGCATACTCTTGCTTATGTCACTTAATTCAGCCTTTCGCACATGCTCCTAAGGACAGACACTAAAATCCTAGCTTCCTTGAAGTCAGTGGGCAGTTTGCCATGGACTTCAGAAATTCCAGTAAGATTCAGATTGGTTACAGCTTTCATTCAGCTCCATTCTACAAATTTCAGATTTTCTCCTTTCCTTTCTCTCATGAAGGCTTTTCATTTTGCTCACACCGTTCTCTAAATTCATTTTTTTTTTTCACCCTGCATGTGCAGTGTGTGGCCCTGCACCTTATTTACTGCACATACACAAAGCCCTGTTAGAACAGAGGATTTTAAATTCCTCACAGTTGTTTTGCATTGCAAAAACTTATTCTCCTGGGCCCTGTGTGTGTGCTGAGAATGCATCTTTAGAATGTTGTTTGTGAAGCAACTCACATTACCAGCTCTAGTTTATACAATAGAATCTGGAGCATGTAGAAATACACACAGACATGTTCAGTGCCCACCGAGTTTGAGCTCTGATTATGGATAGGTCTGACTTTCTTAGATGTCTGCAGTATTATATCTCGAGAACAAACCTCCCGTTCACCTCTTTGATTACAAGCTTCCACCATTTTCAGAAACCAGGCTCCAGTTATTCTGAATTAGACACCCAGAAAATGAAATCAACTCTCATCAGTGACTGCCTGAAGGAAGAATGATCCAACTGCTAATTCAAAGGACTCAGAGCACAGAGCAGGAACCCGAAACCTGTCTGTAGCTCCCAGTCTTGCTGTGTGGCATATGGGGGACAAATGAGATGCTGCAGGGAGCTAAGCCCAACATTGTCCTCTACCCAGGGGGAATTGGAACCTTCTCATCCTACTTCATTTGGAAGGATCCTGACCACAAGACTACAAACTATTGGATTGGTGCATAAGAAAATGTAAGCAATTAAAATGTACCAAATCAGGATTTGCTCTTCCTTGTATGGGTGAAATATGCTATAAAGCCAGTAAAAGTGCTGTCAAATGAAGACCAGGCCTTGCTTGGACAATGTAGATTTGATTAAAGATCACATGATGTTTGAGCACAGCAATGCATTAGGAATTAAAGCTTTAGTGATTTAGCACTTGTCGTGTTCATTCTTCTTAAAGCACTGCTATGACATCACCTTCAAATGCTCTCATTGATTACCTTTCTGAATCTGTCTCCATAATGCATCTTATCCATTACTACTGTGGATTGTTTAATTGAATGAATAGTTGAGTGACAAACTGATTGGGATTAATCGACTAAAAACACTACATGGAGCATGTATGCACAGAACAGGCTAGGAAGTGGCTTATTAAATCAGAAGTCAAAAACTTGAAGCTGCCATAATATGCCAATGATCACAGGGATAACCAACAGCTCATCTAGCAGCCTATCCAGACACAGGTGCACTCCATTCATATGCAGATGATGTTTCAGGAGCAAATGCCTTTGTTGGCTCAATCAACTGTAATGTACCATAGTGAGTCGCTTCTCTGCATCAGTTGTGAATGTTAACTTGGTAAAAATATTGAAAGTCTCAAACTTAACCTACCAAAAATGTGATGCTTGATAATGTACTCAGAGTATGAATAACTTAATTTTCACTAATCCTGAGGTTTTCCTATCAGCTGTTTGCAGTCACCTGTAGTTTTGCATGCAAAGAGTGGAGAATAATACTACCCAAAATCTGCTATAAGAGGGCTGATAATGTTATGTCAGGGTCAACATACCCTTGGGAAAAGACAAAAGAAGTCTTTGTTGTGCAGGAAAATAAAGTATTTTACAAGGAACCTGATTCACAAAACTGGATTTAAAAGTAGCTGTAACTTGCATGGATATTCCATACTACCATTTTAATTAGTCATGTCTTCTCTGCATGGCAGAAGTATTTCCCCAGGCAGAAGATATTCCTTACAACTTGTTTGGACATATTACTTAGAAATAAAATACACAGAAACAATGATGGATGATGCCAGTCCAAAGGCCAAACAGCCTTGGCTCCTGGACTGGCATTTCTCCAGTGACCCAGTCCCACAGAGCCACCTGCCAGTTTCTCCCCTTGTCTTACAGCTTGGTCACAGAATCACAGAATCACAGAATCACCCAGGTTGGAAGGGACCTCAAGGATCATGTAGTTCCAACCCCCCTGCCCAGCAGGGGCATTCTTCACAGCCGCCAACTCATACAGAGCAGTGAGCAACCCACACGTAACCAGATGCTTTTGCAGCAGACACGTGGTGATGAAGGCAAAGAGCACTAGGAGACAAAGGTTGGTGCTGCTCCTGAGACCAAGAGACATTCAGATTCCCCAAATGAGTCTAAAAATATACAACCCCAGCGGGGAGTCCAGTCAGTGGAACTGCACTCTGCAACCCAAACACCAACAAGCATCCCCAGATGTCTGGGGATCACCCTAATTCTGCATTTATGTTCAGAAAAATCCGAGTTAGAAATCTGCATTACCAGCAAGCAAACATCTGAGTGGATTTTTGCATCCATACTGAGCTTGGAATAAGGTAACAAGCTAAGTGCATAGTGAAGGATGAGCAGCGCAGCTGAATGCCTTAGGAAACCCTCTGCAAAGGTTACAGTGTACTTGTGGTGGCATTTTCAAATACACTGACAATAGTTTCACACTCTGCATAACATGCACAAACTGCATCTTCCTGCAAAGCCTGCAACAGAAGGAAGAGCACAGGACAACCAGGTAATTACAGCCAAGGAGCCCATTGTACCTTGTTGCTAAGTCTGTTTTTGCAGATTGCCTTCTGTAATAGCAATACAGGTTTTGCTGCACAACATTAATCCATGGGTATGTTCTAGCTGTGAATGCAAATCCCAAAGCTGCTCCTTGGTCCTTCATCCAGGTAAAATGCGCATATAAGCTAATGGAAAGTTTTGAATTGAAAAGTAATAGCAAGAAAAAACATCTCTTATCTTTTCTGCTGGAGACCCCACATCTGGTCACTTGATCTAGCTCTGTGATGGAAAGCATCATTTCTCACTGGAACACCTGGAGGATTCACAGAGCTGTCCTAAAAGGCTCATGACCCTACACAGAGCACCCCCTAAAAGGCTCATTTTGAATGTGACTGAATGCACTGATCACACCAGTGAGTGGCTGCTCTAGTCAAGCACATCTCTACATTATTGCTGTTCTAACACAAAAAGTAAGGATAGTTCATTGCCTGCAAGTGATTTGGACTTTTTTTTTTTCCTTAACTCACTGTAGACTTTTTACCAGTTCTTATTGACTGCTGTGAAGTCATCGCTCAATGGCTGAATAAAAGGAATTATAACCTAATAAGCATTTTTGGTCATTTATTTTGACAATAAAATTATAATTTAGTTTCCATCACCACGCACAAGTCAATGAAAACAGGCAGGAAATGAAGGGTACATTCTAACTGTTCCTTACATATAATTCACATATCCTTCACACCCTTACCTGGAGTAGCACTGGAGACTGTTGGCCACTGCTGGTCAGGCCCTCCTGGTCCTCCACGTAAGATTCCTGCCTCCTCCAGATGCACAGCACTGAACAAGCACACAGCATGATTAGATTATACAGTTATCTTCTGGCTTCATAATATTCTCCTTGCTACTACTACTGAACTGGTCACCATGCAAACACTGCTGTTGTACTGTTTCAAGCTAACAAATTCCTGCTGGAACACTGGAGAATCAGCTATTCTCATTTGCTACAAACAAGCTTTGATTATTTACTAAAACACAGTTGTGATAGAATTTATAAAACAAACATAATCCCAGAACACTTTGCTTTCATTGACTGGAAGCTGCTGACGGGGAAGCTTGCAAAGATTCTTGCTGTTACGATGTATTAACATTAAAGCAAATAATAAAAGGTTGGCTGAATTAGCGCTGAGCCTCTGTAAATATGCTACTCCAGTGAACAATTCAGAAATACACCTGAAAACACAGAAACTGCATCACATCAAACATGATGTTACATGGTGAGCACTTGGCTGAAAAAGCAGCACTGCTGTATATCAACCAACATGGAAGAAAGTGAAAAAAAAATGTGCTGCACTGAATGCAAATCTATGCTCCTTTATCTGTGTGCCATTCATTAGAAAAACAGGATGTTGTGACCGTACTGCTGTCTCTGCTCATCAGCCCCTCAGCTCTTTTCCACACTACCAACTTAATGGGCATTTTCAACTAAATGCAACAAATGCCAAAGGTCGTACAAACATCACATTTCTACATGTTTTATAAATAAAACAGCATTTTATGAAAATCCTCTGCTGGAGAGGTCACGTAAACCTGTCCAGAGATTTCAGGGAAGGACTAAGGATGCTGATGGGAGAGAACAGAGGAATGCACCATTTCCAAGAAAGGCTTCATTAACTCTTCTGCACGTGGGACTAATTGCTTTAAACGAGCTCTGACTCCTCATTTGTTCTTTAAGTAACTTCAGACAAAATCTTCAATTCCAAATAGAAAGGAATTCAGATTCAACTGTGTCCTGAACAACATGATGGCGTGGAAGTCCCAGAAATGGACATTCTGAATCTGAATTTTTGACTTTTACCTTAAAAAGTCCACAACACCATGGATAATAGATAAAAAATGATGGCCATGGCTGCACTGCATGAGCAGTTTTTGGAAAAAAAAGCATAAATTCCTGCACTTGTATTATCTTAGAAATTACCACAACATTACAGTTCCATCTATACCTGCACGGTAGTGTCATTAATCACGTTGCACCAGTTTGCTATTCTGCTCAGAAAAGGGAAGCAAAGATATTATTTCATCTAGGCTCCATAAAAAAAGCTTTATTATAATCCTTTCCAGATGCACTGAGTAGTAAATTATAGCGGAGTCTGCTCATGATTTTATGCAGGGAATCTTCAGTTGAAAGAGATTTGGAGGCAGCCTCGCATTGCCTTATATGAAAACTGCCTCACATCTTATAGCAATTGGACAGATCAATAAAGAAAAGGTGTTACAACAAAGGCGTGACAACAAAAGGACTGGCACAAAATAGAGGTGCTATAAAGGAAGGGAAGATTGCTCACCCATATCAAAAGAGTCCAGGTTCATAGGGGAAAAACTTCACTAAGAAGAAATCTCCACAAGAGATCTTCCCCAGAGGCAGCCAGCCCTTCAATGAGGTCTAAGAAAGGTGCAGCCAGGCTCCACCCCTTCTGGTCACACAGCTGAATTGCCTTCACCTGTGCTCCTAGGGCTGACTGGGTCCTTTCCCCAGGTGCTCAATCAGTGGTTCAGCCATGACTCAACAGCTACCATATATAGCTTTAGAACATGCTTTAAACTGTGTTTAGCACCTTGTTTGTACCACAATGGCTTTCAGACTGGCTGCAGGAGTACCATACTTATGGCAACAAGAGGCAGCTAGATGGAAAATGCACCAATGCCATATGATCTACTAAAACCTATCAGCATTGAAGATATGAGGGAAATTGAAGGAAAACAAATAGTGTATAATTGCAATTAAATAACTCAATAATTGGAGCATCTGATACCTTGACAACAACATAAAAAAGGCAGCAACATAAAAAAGGCAGAGAGCAAATACAACAAAAGCAGAGATCAGTGGTGGTACAGTAATAGCAAAAGATGCAGTCAGCCCAAATTTGTCATACTTAGAGATTCAAAGTGACAGTAGCAGAATCTTCTTCCCATCTCAGCTTACAGATACCATCAGTTGGAGGCATCAGAGAAGGGGGACAGGTTGGTCTTTGTCAGAGAGGCCAAGGAAAGAACGCCCTGTGCCTGGGGCAGCACACAACCTACCTTTGCATTCCTGCCCTTAGGGACGCAGAGTAGCGCCAGTCAGGATTGGAGTGTTTTGGCTGTAGAAACAAAAGCCCAGAAAAACATGGTTAGCGTACACTAAATGTGTGGAAAAGCATGTAGACCTGCCTCCTTTTGGGGTTGGTGTCAAACAGTCTGCATGGTGACCCTCGGTTTTTGTGAACGTTCAGAATTCTGTAATCTTTCTATGAATCTGAACTTTCAAATGGTCACACAGAGATGATCTCTGCAACAAAGCAACTTGTTTGGATGCCAAGGCCTTTGGCTAGAGATGATCTCTGTGAAAAGACATATAATGCTGGAAACTGGAGGACAGTTATTTTCCATATTCATAAACATTCTGGGCATAGGAAGAAAGGAATCATAAATTCATAATATACGTTCTGCTGCTTTACTTGATGAGCCAAGGAAGCTCAGCTGCTGAGCCAAATAGCATCTGCCTAAGGACATATAAAATGGAGCCCCCTGCAAAGGGGACACGTGGGCTCCTCTGCTGTGAAGTTTCTGCTGGCATTTAATGTACTGCAGAGGACTGCACTAAATGGTATCAGATTTGCAGACTGCAGCAAGTCTTTTATCAAAGGCAGACGTGCTCTTTCACAATATCAAGAACTTCTACATTCTCCTTATTCATTAGGGGGGATAAGGGAAGGAAGGGGAAAGCAGACACCAATGCCCTTTGGCCAACAGTGTATGCTGACTTGCTGCAGAGTGGCTTGCTAAATGAACAGATAGCTAAGATATCCTCTGTTGAACAAAAACTTGCTCCAAAAATGCCTTTGCAGAGTCAGAGGACCATTGAAAGAATTTTCAATTATGGTAGACAACAGCAAACTGAGGTCTTTTGAAATTTTGCATTTCTATGCAGCCCTAAGAACATGACAAGGTTATTTCCCAGGATTCTCAAAGCATTAGTTTGTACCTGATATTGCAGCCAGTGATTAACGTCAGGCACTTGAATCCAAAGAGAGAACTTATGTCCACGAATATAATGGACTGCACTCATTCGTGGTGTGTCTCATACAGTGCCAAACACACAAATAATAAATGACAGTAATGGTTTAATTCTGTTCAAGCCATTGGAATCAGATCAGAAATGAATTTGGCCCCATTAGTTGAAGAGAAAAAATAAAGTGTTGAATGCTCTCAATTATTTACAGCCAGCTCTGCTTTTCCTCTCGAGGTTTTGGGCATGCTTTTCCCTGGATCAATAGGCTTTATTCAAATAAAAATGGTGCAATTAGAACCTCCCCCAACATTCTATTACTGTACTTCCTGAGTCCAGCTTCACTCAAGAGTGAGATGCTCTTGGATGATGTGCATCCTCAGTATCCTTTATGGTCTGAATTACACAAAAGGGAGGAGGCTTCTATCTGCAACCACACATTAAACATCTGTACTAGCAATTTCCTTCCCATTTAGACCCCAGTTGTCTGGCATGCTCAGGTTCTGCTGAGTTTAGCAGAAAATGACTTGACAAGGAGCCCATTATGCATGTTGCCAGTATTTTCTGATTCATTCCATTTTGGCCCCAGTCCCAAGGATGTCAAGGTAACTGTAAAGTCAACCATACAGAAATACTCAATGAAAGAAAAGACAGAAGATACTCTAATCAGACCCTTCCCCAAGTTTGTTTTTCTAAATGTATGAAGGGTGCTAACACCAGAAGATTTGGCTTTTCCTCTGCTGGACATTTGCTTGCAGAATGGGAACTGTTGGACAGGGGTGGGAGAGCAGAGAAGTCCCTGTCCTTTCATACAACAGGAGAAGTGAAAGTCACAAATTTGCACAAGGTTGTAGGCAGTGTGAGGAGAAGAAATGCTACCACTGCTCCAAGCAAAACACAGATGAAGCAGCATTGAAGAGCTGGAAAAGTCTGTCATGAGTTAGGCAGGAGCAAGGAAAGGGGAAAGCATGATTTGCTCAACGCACACCAATTTTTTTTTCTCACCAAGAGCTGGGAAGCTCTCAGCTAAAAACCAAACAGAACAAAAACCTCACAAAATTGATGGTTGATTGTAAACTTTCAGATACAAAGTGGTAAATAGGTGATGGTAGCAGGAGAAACTCATCTGTTAGAAATTCTCATTCCATGGGATTGAGAGTCACAATGTCAGAATAAGAGAAATATCAGCAATTAGAAGACTGTGGTATTTTCAAAGGTTATTATCTAGATGCTGTGGCCTCTTACAGCCAATTCCTGTTGTTCTCTATGTGCTATTACTCTTCAGACAGGGCTGCAGTGATAGTCAGAGTCCAAAGGAGGAATTATCTCAGGCACATACCTCTAGATATGGAAAAAGCAATCGGCTCATGCTCTGGTTTAAGTGCACACACAGCCACTTACTAACTTCTCCACGTGAATGGCAAAGCAGAATTGGAAGAGCAAGTTGGAAAACTCACTGGCTGAGCAAAAAATAGATTAATACATTGGGGAAGAAAGAAAAAAAAAAAAAAAAAAGCATGACTGAGGTGAAAAAGCCCCACTATTTTCATCACAAGACCAAAAGACGACACCATCCTCGGAAGACTCTATTCCAACCAAAAGCCAGCGTGATACATCTGACTTTCAAGCACTTTCCTTATACACCCACCAGGCATTCCCAGTCTGCACACTTGGTTTGGCCCATGGCTCTGGTTAGGAACAGCCTACCTTTACCAAACCACAAGCTGAAACCTGCCTCATTGAAATATGGTGCTAGCAGTCACTGCATCATGGCACGATATGGCCATTTTCAGAGTGGAGCAATGTCTTCAGCACAGTCCCATGGAACAGAAGACTGTATTGCTACATTGATGAAAGCTGAATGCTGTCTGCAAGCTCCTCTAAAAAAACCCTGCTTTGCTGCATCACAGGTCAGCACTGCCAGAACAGGGTTACAGCCAGAAAGCATGAGCACAGAGAGGAAGCACAAAGAGGAACACAGAATCTAAAGTAGTCCCAATTCTCCCCATCTGTAAATCCCCTGGCAGTTACACAATGCAAATGAAGATCAATACACTTCCTTTCACGTCTCTAGCTCCCAACTTGTCACAAGACACTGTTTGTCACATACAAGTTCATTTTTCTACCTGTAACATCACCTCAGCCTGTCCTCAGAGGTTTTTGAAAGCTGGTGGTCCTACTTTTACCATACATCAGTTGAGCAGAGGGAAACCACACAACCGAGCACCATTTCCTGCTTCTCCCATCACCTGCTTTTTCTCATTTAGTAAAAACACTCAACATCTGTTGTAAGGTGAACAAAGACCCATCCAGATGCCTACAGCAGCGTTTGCCATCACACCAGGTGAGCACCTCATGCCAACAGTTTGTTCCTCCTGCTTCTTCCAAGAGCCAAGGTTACATTCTGCATAACCACAAGCATCAATGTGATCAATCAACCAACCATACTGGAAAGTTCAATAGGTGAATTTATATTATAAGTGAAGTCATCTTAACAGCATAAAAGCTCAAGTAAAATTTCACACACTCATTCTTCAGTTGCATAGCATGGGTTAATTAAAGCATTTCACTGCTACTTAGAGAAGAACTGAGAATACATTGCTACAAAAATTTGGCTTGATCCTTTTTTTTTTTTTTCACCTGATGATTTACCCCAGTAAAGTTGATCTCTATAGATAGAAGAAACTGCTGGAAAATGTTGATGTTCTGATCCCACATTCATGAAAATCCAACCTCCCAATGATTTCAGCGGGTGTTAGAACAGGGCCTGCTTGAGGTAGAGAAGTGTGAATGAAACATTTACAAACAGCTACCAGCTGATGAGACTGCTAAAAGCATCCCACTCCGCTCCCATTTCCACACAAACACACAACAGCACGACATAAGCTATATTTATCAGATGTATGTGCTTCGAAGCAATAATAAAAGGCCTTTCACAACCTCTGACCACACACAGCTCTACTTATTGTCCTGTGAGACGGTGCTGACAGATGCGAAAAAGCAGATACTTCTGTTACTGATTCCCTTCTGTAAATGCTTCAGATTAATTTGACGCACAGAACAGCCTATTTATAGTCTGAACATGCATTCGTCACACAAGGAATCAGAAAGGAACCTAGAAGAGCCTAAAATTTCCAAAGATTTGCCTTCTGTCAGTGCTCACATGCATTTCTAACTCTGAGAAAACTAAGATGAAAGGAACAAGCAAGCGCTTCTGTAAAGTGCATTTAATGAGTTCCAAGAGAAGGAAAACTCCCCTGTTTAATATTAGATGCAAATTTCTGCTGGCACAGCAGTACACATCAAACTAAGAGTCCGACTTCCCTGAAGCACACAGCACTGCCCCTGCTTAGCAGAACAGGTCCGGATATGGACCCTGAATAAGAGGACCAACATTTATAGTTAACCTTTACAATGTCAGTGGGGCTGGAGAATTTCTTAGAGGATTAAGTTCTTGAACTGAGACTGTAAGATATTCCACCATTAATACCTTTAAAGCCTCTGTGAGAAATCTCTTGGTAAGACAATGCTGTGGCTTTATTAGATTTAGACACTTGGAAACATGCTGGCACTTAAAAGCAGTATCAAGATGTGTTCAAGTGTTGCTTGCTTTTTGACCCTGTGCTTGGCAGGCTTTCCTTGAAGTACAAAACACAGAGGGGAAGCCAGAAGTAGAGCAGTGTGATCAAACAAATGCAAAAGCCCAATGAACCACTGGGTCTTACAGTCACTCATTTGCAGCCTTTGTGCTTTCTGAAAAGAGCGCACAGAGCACAATGCAAAGTTACCTAAGGACACCATGATTATCACTGTACTTTGTTGCCATCATGTGCCACACACACAGGCACACCCAAAGGTAAAAGGACATCTACATTCAGAAGTGCTCCTATCTAGTTTTGTCAAAGATCCAAGCTGCCCACTCATCTTTAAGAATGTGCCTCAGGGAAAGAAAACTTCAGCCAAAACCTGTGTCGATCTGATTGTTCATCCCTGCATTGAAAGGGAAAGGTTGTCATGAGACACAAGACAATGGTCGAGTTTAACTGCACACAAGATAACAAGAAGACAGAAGAAATGAAAAGAAAAACCAGG